GCAGAAAATCGGGATTGAAGCAGAGGATGGGGTAACTTTTGATTCAGTATTAGTTTTATTTTTGGATCGCTAAGCATTCATGTATGGAGGAGGTACTTCATAACGCTTCTGTGTCTTTTCCCCTAGTCAAGACCTAAATATAAAGTGCAGACGGTCGGGATCGCATCGAGACTGTCTGCTCCACAATTGGTTTACTATGATATTGCTTAATGCCGCAGTTCGCGCTCCGGAATTTGTCACAAGAATACAGAGTCAAGGAAAAGTCGGATTAGACCTTACTCGAACCCGCAACTCGCTGACCGGGCGGTGCGCTATCCATCACTTCACCGGGGCCGCTCTTACCCTATCAGCTCAGTGACTTCTGTGCCATAGCCTTACAACGCTCACACGTTGGAAGGCTTCTGCTGTGGCACAAAAGCCGTTGAGCTGAGATGGTAAGAGCGGACCCGGTGGCGTAATGATAGTTCCCTCGCCCAATCAGCAGGAGTCGTGCGAGTTCGAGTCCCATATGGGGCCTGACTTTTGCCCGCAACCCACTATTGTTGTGTTTGGTGTGCGACAAAAGCCCCGTAGTGATACCAATAATATTGAAATTTTGGTTAAGCAGAGATAGTGTAGCGGCAAGTGGTGCAAGCGTAGTCTGGGGTTCGAAGCCCAGGATCGGCTCCGCCTGAACCAACCGAGTTTTTCGTGCCTGCGGAGAAAGCTAATTAGTAGTAGACTCGTCTAAGAAGATAAAAAAAGTCGACTCAACATTGGCAGCCCTGAGCCCACCCGTAGGTCCCTCCTCCCCCTTCCTTGAAGTGCCCATCGCCGTAATCTTCAAAATTCTCCTGCAACGAGTTTGATCAACCAATTCTTCTTTAGAGAAGCTTTTTTTAGGAGTACTTGATTTGAGCAAACAACATTTTCATGTACACTTTGAAACTTTTAGGTAAAGCAATTAAAATGTGCTTGACTTGGGCTTGTTCCAAGTTTTTTTTTTCTACGACTGTATATACCGCATATAACTACGACCTATCATGCGATTGGCACAGTCTCTGCTTACCCACCGGAAGCACGAGAAGAGAAGAAATCATACAGTATGACTAAGCAGGGTCTACCTTCAAGGGAAGGAAAGTAGAGACGGTGTGGAGTGCCTCCTTCTCCCTGCCCTCAAATACATTTACTTGTTTGCCACTCTATCCCTTAACTCTCGAACATTAAGATGTAACCGCGCTGGAAAATATGTTAGAAAGTCAACAACAAGGATCCGTGGCAGTCGAAAAGAACAACTTCATTGCCCATCTTTTCTGAATGCAGATATTCGAAATGACGGCACAGTGTTTGTGAAGGGCTGCTTTGGGCATGCCGGACACAGCCTGAACCCAGAACTTCTACGTTTATCATCAGGAGAGCGAGAGATTCTGTATCAACTATTGGAAGGTAGTGAAGTTGCTGTGCATTTATCGACAAATCAACATCTAATATTCTCCTTTTTCAGAAAATACGATCGATAATGTTTTCCAGTGGCTTCGCATCGAATTTGGTAATACAGAGTCAAAACTTGCTTATCTCACCAAAACAGATCTGTTGTATTACGCCAAGAAACTCAGTCCTCGGGCAGATGAACAGAATGCCAGCGATTTGACTCCACTGCCATTGCCAACAGAAGAGGATATTTCTTACGACACTGTGATCGAAGAGTCAGAAGAGTTTGTTTTACCGGAGCCGAGAGAATCGGAGCTGTACGAACAAGAATATGGAGGAGAAGAAATATTTTATGTGAATGAAGAACAAGAACTAGTATCCGAGCAACCACGGAAGGAACATAGACTTCGGTTGCTCAACTCGATAATAAGCGTAGGTTCTTCGAGCTTAAAGGTCCATTCACTAGAAAAATGGGTCGAGATAATTTTTCCCCTTATCTACATTAGCGTCTGCTTGGAAAGTGCCGGGCTTGAAAAACGCTAGTCCCTTCAGAGATGTGCAACTGTTCGAATGAATGCTGAAGCCTTGGCTGCGCAAGACGATGAGGAGGCGATGGAAATTCTGGAGACAATTGATGAATATATGAGATGTGCTGCGACCGCAGCACGCAAGTAGCACCGATCATTTGAAGGGTGGACCTGAAACGACAAATGACGGAGGAAGAGCACATCCCATGAAAGTTCGCTTTTATCCGGTAAGTAAAAGTACTGGACCATATTGATTTGCAAAGTATTCAGGGGAAGGAACTGAAGGAGTCGAGATGGAAACTCGTTCCCGGTGAACACCAAAATGGAGAAGCATCTGCGCATTGTGAAGATGAAGAAGAAGTGAGGGTTCCACCTCAAACCTTTTGCGCTTTTGTGGTTAACATGCGGACTTGTCTACTGTTTTGCTTAATGTGCTCAGGAGGAAATCACGGTCGATTAATTGGGGAAAAGAGATAGGACTGCTTGTACGATAAAGGCTTGTTATGTCTGCTGTGACGGATAAGTTGCCATACATCGCCCCACTATGGTGAGCAATATTGAAGATATGATTTGATGGGCTGCTTTCATACTTTGCGACAGCGTGCGTCCACCACCGTCTCGAGCGATCGGATGTTAGGATTAGGGGACTGTAGACAGATCCAGCGACAACCCAGCGTCCACAAGCGGCCGTCAGCGTCACCGGCGTTTTGAGCGAAAGCTAGCGTTAGCGACTAGAAGAGCGTAATATCGATCCAGCGAACGCGAGCGTCCACCAGCGCTTGTCAGCGTACAGCTGTGTGAAGTGAAGAGTATGGGGAAGAGGGAGGGTAGCAAACAGTTGGATTAGGCGTCATGAAATTGTGGCTTGTGCAACCTCACCGTGCAACTGTTAAAACACTAGAGTTATGCAGTCCTGGTGTACAGTGTAGTGCAGTTCTAATCCAGCCCGTTTGCTACCCTCCTATTTCCCCATACTCTCCACTCCTTTACGCTGGTGGACACTGGCGAAGACTGGCGTTCGTTGAATCGATACCTATTTTTCCGTAGTCCCTCGAGACACTGGCCAACGCTGGTGGACGCTGGCGTTCAATAGATCGATATCTACACTTCCCTAGTCACTGACGCCGGCGTTCTCTCAAAACGCTAGTGGTCACTGCCGCAAAATATGAACGCAGCCTTGCGGATATGCAATAATTAGAATGTTTCTATTGGATTGCTCCATCATCTTGTCTGATGATTGTTATTGTCTCATGAAAACTTATTTGTATCACTTCGCATTTCAGGTCTCAAACCAAGGCTCCATGTCTGTTTGCTGAGTAAGAAGAACAAAGAATCCAGACAGCTGATAAAAGGGTCTTGAAGGCTTTAAATAAGATTTACTCCTTTCAGTCTGTCTTGCGCAGTAACTGCACATCACATCTGTGACCCAGTTCAGATCATCTTTTCCCCAAGGCTTCCCTGAAGACATTCGGGTTTATTGTTCTCATTTAGCGATTTTTTTATTTCATGAACTTTTGTATCACAGCTGCTGTCTACAAAATCGCAATTTAATCAGCTCTCATACTTCGCGACATCAGCAACTTAATATCCTCGCTAGATTGATTACTTATTCTTGAATAGATCCGGGTCGATTAGAGTTAGAATGCGGTCGACTGTAATGTGTCTTCAGCGTACGCCTTCATGCTAGAATGCTGTGCCATACTGGGTGTCGTGACGGGCACTTATGAGCCAGCTTCTAGGCAGTAGATTGGTGTGGATGGAGTGAGAGAAGGATTAAGGCTATGGCTCAAAAAGTCGTTGACCTAGCAGGGTTAGTGCTGTCCCAGAGGTGTAACACATAACGGCAGTTGTTGATTTTCTTTCTTATGACACGTTTCCTCTTAGGGCTTTCCCTTTACCAGTGCCTTAGTGGGTCGACCGGAAGCTCGGAATAGTCAGATGAGCCTCCGTGGCTCTGTCTTGTTCAGCTGCCTCAGTGGCAAGGAAGTCTATTCAAAGGCCTAAGGCACTACAGGGGGGGGGGGGGCAAAAAAGTCCCTTTTCTTCATTGACTTTGTGAGCAACACGTATAATTACTCTTTTGTAAATTCGCGAGATCACGACATTTTTCAGCCACCATAATTAGAAGAGCATGTTAAGAATACAGTCGTCATCCTTGCACTTGATAGGGGCGTGTCGGCGAGAAGGAGCGTGCACACTGTTTGAAGCCTTCTCAGCCTTTTCGTTGAAACGCGTATGCGACAAAAAGTGATACCTAGACAGAGGTGAGAGCTAACGCGCCAGAGCGATCCCGCATAATACAGACACGTAGGATGTCACGGTCGGATGCTGTCCCTTGGTTCGCGAGTACGATTGGTGCGGCAGTAGGCGGGGTGCGGGCACGACCGCGAGAGGGCGGCCGCAGCACGGCAGGCTGCGCAACATGACAACTTGATATCAGGACGCCAAAGGATAGACTGGTGACTATCATGGAGTGTCTCCAGCGTTTCTCGAACGAGAGCGCCATCGCGTGTAGATTACTGGCACGCCGACCCTGCGGAGTGCGTGATGCGATGAAGATGAGCGAGGTGTCGTATTTCTCCGCCACCGTAGCCACGCCTAATGTGAACTGACGCCCGAACCGGGTAATTGAAGGGCGATATCAGGTCAAGCGTGACCGCTACGCTTGGGTAAGTATTGCACCTTCTCTAGGTATTCAGGCCCTTTCCATTCCAAGTAGAGTCGAGAGTTTTTTCCAACGGCCCTTCATTCATGTGGTGGCAACCGCCAACTGCTCGGTATCAGTACGTGAGTTTCCAAGAAGGTGCGGGCGACGACATATTGAGGAGGATATCTTCACGAGTTGCTCGATGTAACCGCCAGCGCTCACCTTCGTCCGGGGTCACGAAGAAAAGTCTTATAAGAAAATATTGTTCTTCATTCCAGGAATGTCGTCATACCATAAACCCTGCGCCTGCGTAGAACTGCGGTGAAGATGATGTCCTAGACCGTGGCGACGTTGTCGGAGCTGCTCGATGTTGGAGGTCATCCAGATCGAGAGTACTGGTCTCCAGGTAGCTATCCATGGGTGACTCCATACTAGAAGTTTCGCAGCTGTTTGGAGGTGACATGAATTCCAAAGGTCTTCTCCAGTCAGGCTGCGACTGGAGATGACTTCATATTTTGGTGTACATGAAGGTGATGGGCGAGAGCCAGCTCCTGCTTATCGAGGAACATCTTGGGTATCTTCCGCCTGGTACTCGTATCCACGTTCTCTGCTTGATCGTGGCAGAGCCAGAAAACTTTGACTGGACTCTGTTGGACTCGCGACGGAGATGACTTGTGATTTTTTAGCCCCCCCCCCCTGTAAATTTGGTAGTCGCGCGGTACTGAGGAATGGGTGGCAGGGTGCTTACATGGTGGGGTGGTAAAGATGACGAAAAAGCGAAGTCAAAACCTGCAAAAAAGTCCTTTGCTCTGCACGACTGCGAAAGCAATTTCGGACGAGTTCCCCGTTGGCATTGTACCAATCACCGCTACGGTAGATATGGGTGCATGTATGTACTTACATATTCTTGTAGCACCGCAGGCGCTTCATATCAATCCCTTCGCTTCACATCCTACTCCGTAAACGATATAGCGATACGAGCATCAGCACTGGTCTGATATTTAAGAGCGGGCGGGAGCGGTTGGGGGCCGGGTCGGTATGTTGCCTTGATAGGGCGCTATAAGAATATTTTCGTCAGTGGAAGAGCCACGCAGCACCCGTTCAAGGGCGCCGAATTCTGTGCTGCTGTGCGTATTAATTGCACACGTCTCTGGGATTCATCCTGCCATTTGCCTTTAGGAAAGGGGTGTGGAGGTCAGAGGCAAAAATTCCCGAACATTCAAAGTTGAGTCATGCGGGGAAGAGATCTTCACCCTACAGAACACACGGTCTGCATTCCTAATGGCATCCCACTACTCGTTTATCTGATTCTTACTTAGACAATGTAGTCTCTGTTTTTTCCTCATTGTCGTTTGTTTTGCTGTTGCCATTGAAATAAATTATTTTTTTTGTAAAGCTTTGGAATGACACGATGTTCGAAAATACTTCTTAGCAGTCGGGGATCACTTTTGATCCTGGCACTTGTCAATTTTTTGACTGCGAACTAGCGTGCTACACTGCCGGTCCGACTTGTAGCTGCTAACAAGCTCGCATTCAGGGCCTTGCGTGGCGATAGCATTCGAGAACTTTTTTTGACCCTCTCAGAGTCCACGGTCTAGAGGCGAAGCTGGACGCTGGCCAGTCATAGCAGCGCGTTTTGGGAATCGCAAAATATTGTGAAGTATAAACGCGGTGTTAGTCCTGCACACAGTTTTATGTGAATTCTTACTACGTTAGAAACAAGGGACACATTGCGAACGCTTACACTTGCCACAAACATCGCCTTCACCGGAGAGGTAGTCAAGACAATCGTGACTTGCCGCGTTGTCGCACTCGGCGCAGCGCGGCGGTTTATACACTGGTTCGTTACGGACGGTTGGGCGTGTCAGGCATTGAGTGTGTCACCCCGTCAAAGCCCTTCCTTCTTGTTGAAGCGCGCATGCGACAAAAAGTGGTAGAAAACGAGTAATACGAACGATATGATACAGTGCTCGCTTTAACAACTGGTGGAGAACGGGTTTGGCGCCGCGCCAAACCCATCCCGCCTGACTATATGGGGTTTCAAAGTACCCTTTTTGCCGCATGCGGTAGGCCACACCCATCGAAGCGGCGGTTCATGATTGTCTTGTCACATTTTTTTCACGCCCATCTAGACTGTTCGAAGTCAAAAGTTTCAATCTTCATACACCTCAAATAAATG